CGGCCCCGAGCCGGGGCTGCCCTCATTGCATACATAGTGCGCCTTTCCCTGCTTTTCTAGTGACCTAGCGTTCCGCACTGCCGTTTGGCCAGCCCATGCTCCCGTACCGTTGCGTTTCTCCCCAATGCGCCATGCCACTTTGCCAGTCATACACACGTTTCGATGCGTGCCCTGTCAGCTGCTTGCGTTGCATGTCGCCTTGCTCCACCCCTGTTTTATTGCTTTCTCTGCTTTCGCCCGGTTCCCGTCCCGTTTCGGCGGGGAGTCTATGTTGCAAGCTAGTTCTTGCTTTACCAGACTTTAAGCCCACACAAGCAAGCATTCCATTCTTTCCTGCATCCAAAATCCGGCATTAGTCGGGGAATGCATATTGGGCTTCATATTGTGTGCCCAACACATCCCAGCAACAATTTCTTTTCCTGTGGCTCACCATTTGCGCCTCCGTTGCCGCCATTGCCCCCAGCTGTGCCATCTTGGGCGTGAAGGTATGCCACGTTGGGAACAAAAGAGGGAGCGCAACATTGCGAGCAGGTCCTCCCCTGATAAGCGAGCAGGTATGGATCAAATTGTGCACCGCCCAAGCAATTGGAGTGTTGCGTCAATGACGTAATGTGTCGTATGTTCCAACAGTAGAGTGTTCTTCTGATTTCTCTGCTACCATTTGTAATCCAGAATTCCATGTCCAGCCACCCCTGAACAGCATTGAAGTACCTGCCATCCCAGGAGGTAAACTCCTGTGAAAGTACCGTGAAGGTGGGGATGCTACCTGGTCGTGAGCAGATCACATTGGGCGCATCCCAGCCATTTCCACCTGCATTTCATGGAGGTGGCCATAGCAAACAAGCGCTCCTACGGTGCAGCAGCACACCGAGCAACAGCAGCCAACAATGGGTGTTTCATACAAATAGCTTACCTTGCCCTCCATTGCCACCAATCTGCAGTGGCACAAGGAAATGCTTTCAGCTAGACGTCGATGAATCACCAAATCCCCAATACACGTTATGTTACACACAGTGCTGCAGCAGAGATGATGCGGATGATGAGCCTGGCACATAGCTGGTGAGCACGAGAGACTTGCCTGGCCCTTCCCACCCTCGCCTCCCTCCGCCTGCATCCAGACAGCTTGGTCAGAGTGTGAGCAAAGGGGCTGTGGCCAGAGGAGGAAAGCTAAACAGGGCCTGACTGGCCGGTGGGGCGTCAGGCCGGTGGGGCACACCAGCCAGTCAGACGAGTGCAGGCCCACCAGTAGGCACTCACTTCGAACAAAAAATCGCCTTCCAGGGTGCTTGACTGAATTTCGATGTGGCCAGCATTGCCGCCATTCACGCCATCAATGCCTGTGGGAAGTGCAACAAGCCAGCGCGTTATGCCTGGGAGGCTGGCTGCTGTTGCGGTATGTTTCTCTCACCTGCAGCCCCATCAAGGCCTCGCCGAGTGCCTACTTCACTATTTCTGTCGCCCCATTCTGTGGACACCGAAGTGCCAGCTATGCCTGGAATCGCGGGATCCGAGCGAGAGATACCGTCTCCCCCTGCACCGAAGCCCATTGGCAAGCAGGCAAAACAGCCGTGGCTTGGTGGTGATTGCTTTCTTTGTGAGAAGCACATGCGAGGCAAGCACAAAGATGTGATTGAAGGACGGTACGCTCTTGTCTGCAGGTGATCCACCCCCACCTGATGTGTCGACTACGCAGCGTGCCTGCGCTTTTCCTGGAGCCTGGCCGCACACCAGCCTGCGCGCAACAATCTTGATGGAACGACCAGGCAGACCGGCCCCGCTGCCGCTCTGCTTGCCGGCGAGGTCCAGGCTGCCAAGGAGGGTCACGGTGTCGGCATACACCTCGATGTCGTCAGCGTTGGACAGTCGTACAGTGTTGTTCACCAGAGGGGCGGCTGCAGTTGTTCAGTTGGGAGGCAGGCAAAATGCGCGGTGAGGTGACAATGGTGGCAGTATGGTAGCAGTGCAGCGGTGAGAGCGCATGTGGGCCCGCCTTCACTTACAGAGATCGCTCGCGAGCTGCACGTCGGCAGCCAGGATGGTAACTTTGCTGCCTGTCCTGCTGATGACCAGCAGGCCGGACTGGGAGGAGCTGGTCACAACACACATCACGCAGCGCAGCAGGGCGGTCGCCAAGACCAGCACGATGCTGGGGCCTGGCCTCCGCATGGCCTTGCCCAAAGCAGCACCTGAAAGGGCAGTGGCAGTGGGGTGTAAGTGTGTGGATGCCGTCATGGAGCGGCTGGAGGGAGCAGGCGCTGTGGCGGCTGCCGTGTGCAGGCGCCAGATCACCCCGCCGGTTTGACGGCATCCCAGGGGGCTGCCATCAAACCCAGGGAGATGAGAAACGAGAGAAGGGGGAAAGAAGAGGGAAAACACAGAGGGGAAAAGGAGGGGAGAGGGAAGGGAGAAGTTTGGGGGTTTGAGATGGGGTGCAAGGGGAAACATTCAAAGGCAGGAAGACAGGGCCTTTTTCGCCCTGCTGCACACAGCAGCTGCCGTTGCTATGTCCGCCCGAGCAGCACGCTGCCAGGGTCAGCCTGCATGGACCAGGCACATATGCACACTATCTCAGCAGCGGAAGGGGGAACAGCTGGCGGTCCCCCACGGCTCGCACACACACATTCTGCACCACAGATTTAATGCTGCATGTGCCACCTACCACCCTCGCATGGCTGTGCTGCTCAACAGCTGTGCAGGCCGCTTCCCAGCAGGCTCAGGGCACGGTATCAACTCCAATGCAGCAGCATGCTGCCAAGGGGCGCTGCGCTGCCTGCTGGCCAGTTACCGTGCATGGTGCATAGCTGCCCTGACCTGCGGCTCCTCGCCTTGAAGTGGTCGCAGAAGCTGGTATGTTGATGTCCAGCAGGCGAAGCTGCTAGCCGAAGCAGGAGGAGGGTGGGCGCAGAGCGCGCGGGCAGTGGGTGCTCTGAGGAGCGGGCGGCGGGTTGGCTGCCACCGCTCTCAATATCTCAGCAGCCACGAAGCGGTTGCTTATGCCATTATGCCGACCGTGTACTTGCGCCTGCAGGATGAGTGGGCAGGTGTGTGTGACAACGGAGAGCAGGTGAGCGCCTGGGGATGAGGAAGCTGTGTGCAGCAGTGCAGCACAGCGTGTGCACTAAAAGCATGCGCCCCAGGGGCAGGGTGCCACGCCACAGGCAGTGCCATGCTGTTCGCGAGGCTGCTGCAACCCCTGGCAGGCCAGGCAGCCTCCCACATGTGGCGACAAGCACAGCATCACTCCCCACGAGGGAATGGAAAGAAATCAGACGGGTATGCACAGCATGCACAGCTGGGAGGCAGCGAGAACATTATGGTGGTGGGCCAAGTGGTTAGATGGGGAAGCACATTCACCTGGAGTGCTGTTGCCTGAAGCGCGCAGCAAGGCAAGTAGAGGTGGCCAGCAGCTGCTCGAAGCGTGGCCCCGTGCCTCCAACGCCACCTGGCAGCGACTGTCTGCAAGGCGCAGGGGGTGCAGGTTCACAGGTGGGCCTGGAGGGCAGCGCCCTATTGGCATGACACGCTGGATCCACCGGCGGCCAGCCGTGGCGCCTGCCCGCAGCCCTCTTGATTTCAGCTGGCACAGGCCTGCCAGGCTCCGCAATGTCATCAGGGGGGCAGCAGAGGGCTGGCAGGAGATGCAGCTCATCACACCAGCTGCTGCCTGCCGTTGCAAAGCACTCGCATGCATTGGGAGAAGTGCTGCTGGCCCCCACACGCACCTTGAGAGGGGCTCATATCTCTGCACATGTCTGCCGCAGCCCACCACCAGCAGGGCAGCGTGGGTGAGCAGCCACCCAGGTCGCACTGCTTGAAGCTGGCCGCTGGCTGGCGCCCCATGCTGGACAGCGTAATGCTGATGGAGGCCATACGGTGCCCTCCTCAAGGAGATGTTTTCGAATTGTGGCCCCCAAACGATATGGACATAAAAACACAAGTGTGAGGTGAGAGACAACCCCCCAAACACCAAAAACACCACAGCTTCCGCTTACAGCGTGCTCGCCGCGCCGCCGGCGGCACCGCCACCGGCGGGCCCCCTTCATGAGGCCCACTGCCGGCCCTCCGCAGGGAGGGCTTAAACATACATGCATGGGACTCACCAGATCCAGGAAGGCCGCAGGGAGGCTTGTTGTGCAAACTGTACCGAGGATGTCGATGTCGATGTGGCTAGGACCTTGGAGCCTTGTCGGCTGCCACTCCCGTCTCCAGCCACCGGCCGGCAGTATATATCAGGGGAAATGGGCTGCGAAGGCGGCCGACTGGAAGAAGTTGGGTTCACCACCGTACTTTTCACCTCCGTTTTGGGGCTGCCCCTTCAATTCCAAGAATGATCTTTGATTTTAACTAAATCAGTGGATGCCCAAAATCGCCGGCAGATGGCGCGGGTCGCGCATGCGCGGCAGCTGCCGCAGGGATAGACTGTACCGAAGAGCAGACTGTACCGAAGAGTCTACAGGGGTTGAAATCCCGGTCGAGGCGATGGCATGGCCTGTTTATGCCACAAGATTGACTTTTGGCCCTGCGGGGGAGCCCCGTGAACTAGCGGCGGCGGCGGCGGCGGCGGCTACAGCAGGCGGCGGGCGGGCGGTAGCCCTTCCGAAGTACTGTGGAGAATGTGGCCATGCGTTTGCAGGCGAATGTGATTGTGTGCGCTTGCTTCTTCTTTACCGGCACATCTGCCCGCAGGACGCATCGGCGCTCCTGCCCCCATCGCTGCCGGTGGATGTTCTGTTGCTCTACGCTCCCCTTCAGCCAATAACCGTATCATACATGACGCTGGTGGTGCGAAACCAAGAGGCTGCCCAGCCAATCCACAGCTGCATGCTTACAAGTCCGCACATGAGCTTTCAAAGGAGCCTGCCACACGGGCCCGCCCTTGTCGATCAAGGCCATGGGTCAAACAAAGTAGGGCGCAATGGTGGGGATGGTTGGCGCCAGCAGCAGCGTCACCTCCCACAGAAGGGCAGACAGCAGCCAGATGGCCACGGCAGGCACCAGCAGTGGGTACGCCTCGTCCGGGCGCACCACCGCCGCAATGGTGCCGTACAGCCTCTGCTGCCAGCCGCGCTCCGGCGGCAGCCCGCACTGCCGCCTCTGGCTCTGGTGCTGCGCAAAGCGCGCCACCTCTTGCGTTGCCTGATACAGCAGCGGCAGCACAAAGCCCAGGCTGAGCTGCGTGAACAGCAGCACGGCGGTGCACTGGTCTGCCGCAGGCGTGGTCCGCAGCCCGACCAGGCCATGCCCGGTGAGCGGCGGCACCGCCCAGCTTAGCAGATCCAGCGCTCGGTAAAAAATGGATGTGAGCTGCTCCGCCTCTGGCGACGCCAGCTCCGCTGCTGTGCACATGAGTGGGTTGTGGGCTGCACTGACGATCACCGCCGCCACGCCAAGCCCTGTGGCCCACCTGCAGCATACAAAAGGGCAGCATCGCACAGGTTGAACAGGGGGAGCAGGGCAGAGTAACAGATGGGCCCAAGTGATGAAGAATATGCCAGCGTGCCCGGTGCCCCAGCCTGCCTCAGCTGCAAATGGAACTCACGGGAGGCGTGCCTGCCAGGCTGCCCAGGCCAGCAGGTGGGCGCCCACATGTGATGCGACCATCAGCACGATGGCGTGGCGCGCCACGGCTGCTAGCGGGTGTGCGGCAAAGAGTGCGGCAGCAAAGACCGTCCCCGAGCGATCAATGTTGAGGAACTCGAGGCTGGCGCCGCAGCCCTGGTAGCCCAGGAACAGGGTCAGCAGGGTGAGCGTTCCCGTCATCATCGGCTCGCGCCACCGCGTCAGGCCCACCAGGTGCGAGGGGCGCGACAGGCGAGCCAGCCGCCGCCGCCACAGCACGTTTGCCAGGTTGCGCAGCAGCAGGCAGGTGCCCAGCGCGCGGGTGGCCTGGAACACAGCGGGCATGCGCACCCACACACCCAGCACAAACACCTGCAGCATGACATGGTGGGATGTTGTGTCCAGCGGGTCGCCCAGCAGCGCCCAGCGACAGCGGCGGCGGAGCGAGGCAGGGGCGCGGCGCGGCGGAGGACGCAGGCGGAGCCTACCGTCCAGATGGCGTCGGCCATTGCGCCCGTTTGCGCTACAGTGAGGTTGAAGCGCGCAGCGAAAGGCCACTCGGGCGAGCCCAGGAGCGGTGGAGCCCAGGGCATGTGGCGGGCTGGCCAGGCCGCTGCTGACGTCTGCGTCTGGGAGAACATTGCACTGGCGGGTGCTGTCCTGAACGAGCTAGTGGAGCGCATCTTAAGTGTACTGCACTCGGTACTGCTTTGCAGCTGTGGACAAGCGTGGCGAATTCGACTGCGTGGCAGTGGAATATGGAAGTGCGTGAGCAATCATCATCTGCCTTCCCTTGGCCCTGCCCGGCACCGCCAGCGCTTGGCATGTGGCCCGCCACGGGCAAACATTGATGTTTGACTGCCGACGCAGGATGCAGTTGCCGGCAAGCCCGCAAGCACAAGCTTGTCGCCTACAAGCTTGCGCCACCTGCGCTGAAGCGTTGACGGGGCAGCGAGCACTGTCGTTGGCGGCCGACCTTGGTGGAAGCCTCACTCTGGGCGAGGTAAAGTTGCAATATAGCAATGGCCCAATTGGTTGGCTGGCAAGTGTGCACGACAGTGTTCCATTCAAAAAGGCATGAATGCATGGCAGCGGGGCCAGCTCCCTCGGCGGCCACGCGCCAGCAGTGTACGCCGCAGGTGGTATTTTAGGTCGCAGCTGTGGCTGCGCATTGCAGCCCCGGTGCCATCTTTTGTTTTGCCTGCGTCCCTCGCTCGATATCCAGCACCCCCAAGCCGGGCCATCGGCTTCATTTGAAGTTTGGTTGCGGCGGGATGGTGGTTGCGCGTCGCGGCAGCTACAGCACGGTCTCAGCGGTGGGCAGACCGCCAGGCAAGGCGGCCATCGGTCGCTCCTTTGTGCGCCGCAACTCTAATGTCCTCCTGCTGGGCCTGGTGGCCTGCGCCGTGCTCAGCCTTGGCTGGCGCCCGCTGCACGCGCCCAGCGCCCCAGCAGGGCATCGCGGCAGCGGCAGGCTGGGGCGGCGGGCGCAGGAGGAGTGGCTGGAGGGCGTGGGCTCGGCGGCGGCGGCGGCGGCCGCGGTGGCCTCCTCCTCTGGCGTGTATGGCTATGTGCACAAGGACGGCATCGCCGACCTGCGCAACTGGCACCCAGACCACAAGGCCTTCCGCCAGGACCGGCTGGAGGGGTGGATGGCGGAGCGGCAGGCGGCGTTGGCAGAGGGTGAGGGGAGGGAGGCAGGTGGCCCGCTCACCACGGGACCCGCCCCACGCCAGCGAGTGCATTGCCGTGGCTCCCTGATGAAGCCGGCTCTTGGCGCGCGCCCACCGAAAACACACGGCTGTGCCCCGCAGGCAGGCTGCCCCCGCCGCTCCCCATCTACACCGGGTGCCAGGTGTACGTCAACCACCTGTACAAGGTCATCTACCTGCGCCACGCCAAGACCGCCTCCAGCTCCCTGTTCTGCCACTTTGGGGGCTGCCGCGCCGCCAACGCCAGCGAACCCGCGCAACAGGCGCTCAGCTTCGAGCTGCTGCAGGTGCGAGGGCGGCACGCCTGCGGGCGGGGCGCTGGAGGGCGCCGCCAGGGAGTGGCGGGGTCTGGCGCAGGGCGCAGCCAGAGGCCGGGCGCCAGCTCAGGCGGTGGCGTGGCTGGCGGGCGGCGGCGCGGAGGGCCACGTGGCCAGGCCGGCACGCGCATGTGCCTGCCTGCCCATGCGCATGCGCATGCGCCTGTTGGGCACCAGCACGCCTGCGCGCCCGCCGCCCGCAGGCCGCCAGCGTGGCGGAGCTGGGCGGCCTCTGGCGCGACTACTTTGTGGTCACCTTTGTGCGCAACCCGTACCAGCGGGCGGTGTCGTCGTACCGCATGATGGCGCGCCAGCTGGGGGTGGGCGGCGACGTGGCCCGAGCCTACAGCTGGGACCGCTTCTGCGCAGACCCCACCGGCTTTGCCGACGAGTGCATGCGCGATGACGTGTGCCAGAAGTGAGTGGGTGGGTGTTTTTGGGGGGGGGGAAGGCGGGCCTGGCTGTTGTTGATATGCGTGTGCAGCTGCAAGGTAGCCGGTACGGTCGCGCGGCACGAGGCCGCTGGTACCCGTCTGGTGCCCGCCTGCGCGCCACTGGCTGCTGCCAGGGCTGCTGGCGCTCCTGCTGGGCGGGCGCAGCGCGGCGTGCCCTGCTCCAGATGCCCTTCCCGCACCGCTCCTTGCCCTGCCTGGCCGCAGGTGGCAAGTTTCAGCCTTGTGTGTGCACGTGCCCAGCCGCTCGTTCCCAGCCCCAGACCCCCTTCCTTCCTTCCCGCCCTGCCTGCAGGAAGGGGCGCAACTTTGTGTACGTGCACATCCAGCCGCAGTACGAGTGCCTCATCACGGAGAGCGGCGGCTGGGCGGTGGACTTCATAGGCCGGGTGGAAAGCATCGACGACGACCTGCGGCTGGTGCTGGCCGAGATCGAGCGGCGGCGCGAGGCGGGGGCGCCGCCGGTGCGCTGCGCGGCCGCGACGTTGTGCACGGCTGGGGGCGGTGGGTTGGTGGAGTTGGGCGTCGTGGCGTGGTTGCAGGGGGAGGAGGCAGGCCAACGGTGGAGCAGCTGGTAACCAGGGCCAGCGTAAAGAGACAAGCAAAGAGACAAGCTGGCTGCTCGTTTCGGGACCCTTTCTCTTGCGTGCAGGTTAGACCGCTGGAGGGGACCTTGGAAAACGTCAACGGCCGGGGCTGCAACGAGTCGGAGGCAGGTGGGCAGGCGGGCAGGGCGCCTTGTGCCGCCATGCCAGGCCCGGGCCGCCGTGCTGCTGCCCCCAGCCTGCATGGCCGCCGCTGGCGCCTCCTCGCCGCCGTGCGTCCCTCTCACAACCACTCCCGGCCTGCCCACCTTACCTGCCGCCGGCCCCTGCCTCCCCGCCTGCCTCCCCGCCTGCCTGCCCGGCGCAGCCTCGGGCCACTCTGTGGCCAAGGAGCAGTATTGCGACCCTGTGCAGTACTACGACGCCCCCCACGCCGCCTGCTTCCGCAAGGTGCGCCACCACTACTTCAGCGACGCGCACGACCTGCGCTTTGGGCCCGATGAGGTGGCAGACGCGTGACGGCGGCGCCGGGCGGGCTGCGCTGCCCAGCGGCGTGGCAGCACGAGGTGGAGTGGGCTGCCGCCACCTGTGTGGTGGCGCTGGCTGCTGAGAGCGAGCGAGCGAGTGCGAGCTGAGCTGTTGTGTGCTGCGGATGCTGCCGTGTGTGGAACTGTGAGCGTGCAAGCTGAGCGTATGCAATGAGAGCAGAGCGTGACGGGGAAGATGAGTTGCCAAGGGGGCATTTGGGAGGCCAGGGGCAGTTTAGGAGGCCATCGGGCATTGCAACTTGCGCGAACAGCGAAGGACAGTTGCCAGCTTGGCGGATGTGGCAGCGCGCTCCCGCCCCGCTGTGGCCTGGGTGGCAGTTTGTTTTGCGCTACGTTCCAGCACATCCGCTGATCGTTTTCCAAACCCTGCAGCTGCCAGGGCTCCATCTACACTCGTCAGGCGGGTTGGGGCAGCTCAATTCAATGATGAGGAGTGAAGCAGGTGGCACAGGGCCACACGCGGTTTGAAGCAGCCCACAAAGAATCCAGGGCAGCGAGATGGAGGAGGGCGAGGGCCCGGCCCCGCTCCAGCCGCAAGGTATGTGGCGCTGGGTGGATGGCGCGGCCGTGCTGTCGGATTTAAGCTTCCCAGATGGTGCCGATCAGACAAGGCATGCGACACGCGCCTTGGAGCCCCCGCCCTCTCACGATTGATCGCAGAAACTTGCGTTCTTGCCCACCTTGCTCTCAGCAGCCCTCTCGTCGACCCCTGCATGCTGCCTGTGTGCGCAGATGCCAGCGAGCCCAGGCTGGGGCTGCGGCAGCGGCGCAGCAGCAGCAAGCGCGCTGCCGCCGACGGGGCTCTGCCGCCGCCGCCGGGCGCGAAGAAGGCCAAGGTGCGATGCTGCCCGCTCTGCAGCCTCAGCCAGGCGTTTGTGTGTCTGATGCCTGCATCCAATCCCTTGGCAGCTGCTGCCCCATTGGCACCGCCGAAGCAGATGAGAAACACATGAGGACGCGCCCCTATCTGGACTGCCCCTCCCTGCGCTGCCATGCAGGCCTCCGGCGGAGGCGGCAGCGGCGGCGGCCGCGTGCGGTTTGCCGGGCCGCGCGCGGCGGCGGCGCCGGGATCTGCTGCCGCCTCTGTGACCGACCTTGCGGCCCTCGGCGGCCGCTCTGGCTGGCCGGCGCAGTGGCAGGGGCAGGGGCAGGAGGTGGAGATGGAGGCGGTGAGCGATGAAGACATGCCCGAGGACTTTGGTCTGTCAGGTGGGCTGCCAGCTGGCAATGTGCCGGCGCTGACCTGGCGGTGTGCTGGCGCTGACCTGGCGGTGTGCTGGCGCCACACTTTGCCCGGGGGCCGTCGTGCCCAGCTGTCGACCTGGTGCTGTGCTGCGGGCCGGTGCCCCCTGTGCATCCTGCGCCCTCCCTGCTTGTTACTCTGCTGCTGCTGCTGCTGCTGCTGCGCCTGCTGGGTGCAGACGGGGATGCCGAGGAGGAGATCGGGCAGGCGCAGGCGGGCAGGTCGCGGCGGCGCGCCTGGCAGCGCCTGAAGCTCTGGCGGCGGCGGGCGGCGGAGGAGGAGCAGCGGCGCGCAGGTGGGGGGAAGCAGGGGAGGTTGCAGGCTTCACACCAGCCCTCGCCTCTTGAGATTACTCAGATTAAAGCAGGGGCAGTGCGGGCATGCGGGCTGTGCCGTGGGTGTGGGCCGCGAGCCGCGCGCATTCCGTGAGCAGGCGGGCAGGCTGTGCCGGCCTTTCCGCGGCGGTTTGGCTGCCCCCGGCTGACCGCTTGCCTGCCGCTGCCCCTGCCCTCGCCTTCCGCCTGCGGCTGTGCAGAGGCCGCGGTGCGGGCGGCGGCGGAGGCGGCGGCGGACGCGGCGCGCGGGCCGCCGCCGGAGCCGCAGCGCGCCTTCCGCCTGCCCATGGCCGCTGTGCCCGACCTGCTGATGGTGTGGGAGTTCACGCAGGTGGGGTCCTGTGTGTGTGTGTGCTTTGTGGGTGTGGTGTGTTGTGGTGTGGTGTAGTGTGTGGTGTAATGTGGTGTGTGTATGTGTGTGCACGCGCGTGTATGCCGTGCTGTGCCGCCTTGTGCCTGGCCTGGCCTTCCCAGCTGGCTGGCAGCCTCCTCAGCCCATGGCCGCCCGCCAGCTCACCTTCTCGTGTGCTGCCGCCGCTCGCCGCCGCCGCTGTGCTCATTCGCAGGCGTTTGGCGAGCTGCTGCAGCTGCCTCCCTACTCCCTTGCCGCTCTGGAGGCAGCGCTGGACCCGGGGCCGCACCTGCCGCGCCCTGCCGCCCCAGCAGGCGCCGCCGCCACCCCCGCCCCCACGACCACCGCGGCGGGTGAGGGAGGGGTCTGGCGATGTGGGGCGCGCCTGGTGCACCAGCATTGCCTTGCTTGCTGCGCGTCCTGCCGTTCTGCACCTGCATCCGCTCATCTCATAGCTGCGCCTGAGCTTCTGGTGTGTGACGCCGCTGTGGTGGCTGCTTGCCTTGGCTGGGCTTGGCTGGGCTGCAGCCGACACCGGCGGCGGCGGCGGCGCGTCGATGGCGGCGGGAGAGGAGGAAGTCAGATCGCCCTCCAAGCGGCAGCAGCAGCAGCAGCAGCAGCAGGAGCAGCAGCAGGGCCCTGGGCCTGAGCAGCAAGCCGGGGAGCAGGTCTCAGCCGAGCAGCAGCAGCAGGCGGAAGCGGCAACCCAGGAGGAGTCTGCTCCCCCTCTGCAGCCCCCCAGCGAGCCGCCGGCGGCGGCACCGGAGCAGCAGGCGCCGGCGGCAGCAGCGCCGGAGCGGCAGGCGCCTCCTGCCGAGCAGCCGCCACCTGCCGAACCTCAGCAGGCGGCGCCTGCTGCTGAGGAGCCGCAGCAGCAGGCGGGCGAGCAGCAGGCCCCGCAGGCGGAGCAGCCAGCAGCAGAGGAGCAGCAGCAGGAGCAGCAGCAGGGGCAGCAGCAGCAGCAGGAGGCGGCAGAGGTGGAGGGTGATGGGCAGCTTCCCTCCTCCGAGCACCTCTTCTTGCAGCAGCTGGCCAGCCAGTTTGGGGAGGCGGCGCAGCAGGGGCAGACAGGCGAGGAGGCCCCTGCAGCTGCGGCAGAAGCTGAGGCCGAGGCCGAGCAGCCTGCACCGCGGCAGCGGCGGCAGCGGCGGCGGCGGGCTTATGAAGAGGAGGGCGAGGCAGAGGACGATGAAGAGCAGGAGGAAGAGGAAGAGGAGGAGGAGCAAGATTCTGACGATGAGGAGGAGGAGTGGGAGCAAGACGAGGAGGAGGAGGAGGAGGAGGAAGACGAGGATGACGATGAGGAGGAGGAGGCGAGGGCGGGGTACGGCTCGAGGCGCGGGCGCCCGCCGGCCTCCTCCCGCCGCGGCGGCGGCAGGCCGCTCATCCGCACCCGGCGCCAGGCGGCGAGCGACCAGGTGGGCTGCTGCGCCAGGGGCTGTGCCAGGGGCTGCGGAGGATGATGAGGGAAAGGCCTGGCGGTGGCGAGGAT